TTGTGTATTGATCATGACATTCCAACTGCTTTACTGCTAGTGTTTGTCAGGCAATGAGGTTGAAAGTTTAAGTTACTATTTGTTATGCTTTTTGATGGTAATCATCTTTTCTCGCCTAATTACATGGTCCTGATCTCCATATGAGTCTGAGAACTGGTCAATTTAGAGACAGTTAGAATTTCATTCCAATGATTTGGCCAGAGTGTTACTTACATATAAGGGGAAAAAAAGCCTGAAAAAAAATTTAGAGAAAACTTGGACTATTCTACACGCTACACGCTACTAATTTTTTTTTCTCAGAACTTTCAAGGTCATTACGACCCCAGTCCGGATTATTTGTGACTTACTGAAATGGGTGTCACCGCTGGATTTTTTACCACGAAGGCTCGGTTTATTCCTTTGGGCGGCTGCCGAAAACGTGTCGAATGATTTCGGTTTTATTCGTTTCGAAAAAGGTGAGATATTTTGGAAGAAGACCAAAGGAACTGCGGAAGGTACTTCAAAAGACTTGGACAATAGTGTAATTAAGCTACCTTGCGCGAACAGACTTGTGATCTTGTATCCTTTTGTTTACATTGTCTTGAGATGAATGAACTTGAGATCGATAAACTGCAATCATTTGAATGGATTTAGTTTCTATTCACGGTGTATTTTTAGCCTTAATATGTTTTTAGGATTAAAGAGCGTCGCAAAAGATTTAAAAATGGATCTTGGACAAGTTGTTGTAATCACTGCGAAGAGCAAAAGCGAAAATAGTTTATCATTTCGAGCGCCGATCGGCGCGGCGCGGCGGCGGTCGGTCGGTCTTGACTCGTGGAGTTAATCATGCGTTGCTGTCTTTCGACATTTTGCACACGCGGTGACTGCATAAAACATTTAATGAATTAAAACTCTATTTTTTGGCTACCAGTATTTAATTGGGGGTGTTCTAAAAGTTATTAAAGGTGGCAGAAATAAGATTTCAATTCCAAAAGTCGCCTGGCTTAAATAAACAGAGAATTCACGAGTGACACGCCGAGTGGTTACAAAAAGTAATTTTTACTTAATTCAAGTTGATATACGTATTACCAAACCAGCTTTTGTCTGTCAATTGAAAAGAAATGCATCTGTTTTGTTTTGATCCGAATGAGTGCACTTGAATTAAACTACTTCTTTATTATGTAAATATTGCGTGTCGTAAATAGTGCTCGTGTTCGCGCGCTGGCGGTTCATTCTTTCACAACTTTCGTCTTGTTCGAATGAACTTGTTGTGATCTGACCGTGTTGTTTATTGTCGCGATGGAGTTTAGTGTTGGCGATTCTGTCGAAGCTGTCGATCAGTTGGTCAGCATTAGATTCCATCCACCAAAACCACCTTGGTCGAGAGGGACTGAGATGGAATGATGGACAACTCATGACTTGTTATACTAAATGAAAATTACGAAGCTACGACAACATGCCGACTTATCCCGATGATCTAAGTGTATTATTTGTTTAGGAAATTGCGTCAAAACTTTTTACTCAAGAAATGGTAAGTATTAATTTATAGTTCGATTGTAGTATTGTAAAACATTTTACGCAATTTTATGCAGATATTTCACGTATTTAAAAGGTGCCCAGATGTTACGTAGTTTTGGTGGATGTCATAAGGGAACATCCACCAAAACTTTGACCAAAACCATCAACAATATATTTTTTTAATTTTATCTATAGCCACTGTTAGATGTTCAGGGAGACAAAAGATTTATACCACTAATTAGCAGTTAGTGCTCTGGCTAATTATTTTTTATGGTGCACAATTGCTGACCGACCAAACGTTCATAATGATTATCATAACTCATAACACATAGAATAAAGTGGTTTTGGTGGATGTTTCTCTCCATCCACCAAAACCACCATAGCAATTTCTACTACTTCCTTACAGAAGACTGATGTGACCTGCTATTTGGAGTACATAACCACAATCTATTTCTTTGTATGTAGTGATATTTTGCAAAGTTCTTGAGTCAGCACCTTTTATTATTGAAACCGTAATCATAACATGGTGCACAATATAGAATACAAAAGGTTCTGGTGTGGCAATCATGTAATCTTGAAACAGGAGAGTTTTTAACTGACTTAAACAGACATTTGCAACAAAATTCCAGGTCCAGAAATTTCTTCCACTATTTCTACTAAAATCATAACCTTTAAGTACAACAAATCAGCACATCAGTAATTGTTATCATGGGTCTGAAAATCCTATAAATCTTTCACATTTATTTCAAGTAACCTTTCATTTCACATGGATGGATAAGTATACACTCAAGATGCAGAATGTCTTACATTTTACAAATTATTTCCCTTTTTATGGATAGACAGTGAAAGGCCTTTGCCACATTGGTGAATCAAATCATTGTATACCATGCATTTTGTGATAATTGTTTGTTTTTACTCACAATATCCAGAAAAATGGAGGGGATAAATTTAAATAGAAAATTCTATTAATGGTTAAAATTAAATAACATTGGAAGATCAAATTAACTTTGTACTGTTTAAAATTCAGTTTTGGTTTCTTGCTTATTCCAGCCTCTTAATATTCAAAAGCATTCCTTGTCATTTTTGTGTTCTTCTGTGTAACATAACTTGAAAAATAAACACAGAGAAAGGAAACCACAAAGGATTAAACTTGAAGCTAAAGCAAAGTTTAAGTTGAGCCATAGCTGATCCAAATACTGAGCACTTAATATTGTAACCCATTTAGCAGTAAAGTTTATCTATATGTCTGCCAACTTTTCACAAGTCTTACCCCTCTCCTTCAAAAGTCTCTTTGTGGTCTCTAATTGATGATAAGTATATTACAGCTCCTCAATTTCCCTCTCTCAAGACAAGGTTACTCTAAATTTAACAAAGTAATGGACTTGATAAAACTCAAACTATAACTCAGCTGGCTGCTACTTGCAACCTTAATTTCTTGATATCAGTTTACAATAATCAATATGTTATAAATAAGAACCCTAATGCTTAATTTTGCATTGATCACCTTCCTCCTTTTCATTTGCAGACTAGACTGGAACCTCTATAGGTGTGTTTGCTTGTTTTGAGTGGGGATGGAAGAAAAGGAGTCGTGCCGCATATCTGATTTATTGAACCGGATTTGTTCTGTTTATACATGAGTAGAACTACCTTGTTCTCTGAAAAAAATAAAATTTCTTGCATTTTTATCTGTGTTTTGCAGTCAAACTTCCTTGTGTCTTAGACAAGAAATCTTATTTTCTTGAAAACAAAATCTTTGTTTTCAGCCTTCTGTAATAGGTAAATATAACAATGTAAGATGACTGACAGTGTATTTCTCAAGTTTTTTGGAATGTGACAAAACGGAAGTGTCATAGCGTGATAAGGAGCCAACATATGACTGCTTGATAGAAAGCAAAAAATGCAGAATTGCATATATTTTCTCCTTTGTCAGCATCATATGTTAGTGAAAAGTTCTTATAATTGTTAACTTCTAAACTATCTTCAATTTAGCCAAGACTGAACTGTTATCACGTTTGTCATAAAAATTATTCTGAGATCAATGTTATATGACCCATTCATGTATTTGACCTTTCGAATTAGCAAGCCATAGTTGACAGTAACACAAAGGTTGAGGATAAAAAGAAATTATTATATACAGTAATTCTTCTGCATCTTTTCGTTTCCTTTTCTCTCCAGCTGTTTTATCTATGCCATGCTGGCAATTGAACACTTTCCTTACCAAAATTAGGAAAGGCACACCAGTAAAATCGAATTTTTGCTCCTTAAATATCTCATGCATCTTCCCCGAGTATTTTGTGACTTCTGTCCGAGGAAGGAGGTGTAAGTATTAAGTTAACCCGAATGATTCCACAATTGTGGTCTCATCCAAACTAGTGAGAATGCACAATAGCGATAGCAAAGCTTTGTAATGCCAAAGAGCTATATCAATATATATATATATATATATATATATACACACCGGTGTTCCCGAAACCTTTGACAGCTTTAAAGAAAGAAAACTTCGTCGTCAATCCTGTTTCAATTCCGCAATAAGTTTATGCGCCTCATCAACAGAATTTACGTATCCTAAATTATCTGCATGTCTACCATCAAGCAATGGTTCGCGACTTAAAATTCTCGCTATGTTGTTTCTGTTTGTTCCTCAAGAATCATGGGATTTACAGCTTCGGATGTTCGGCTACATCACTTACGGATTTCCGAGAATCTTCGGTTATGTTTTACAAGTCATTAAGTATTCCATCTCAGTCCCTCTCGACCGAGGTGGTTTTGGTGGATGGAATCTAATGCTGACCCGATCAGTTAGGAATTTGGACAAAAGCGAAAGTTGTCAGCAAATCGGACAACGCAATTGTTGTAAATTTTCATCTGTTAACAAAAGAAAAATATCTCACCTACATCAGAGAAGTTGCGCTCTTCACGATCTTCGGAAGCATGCCGGCATGTCGGCAAACTCATCGGAATGAATAAGTAATGAGAAAGAACAATAGCCTGAATTTATGAATACTTAACAACCTCAATTTTTGAGGTTCACGTTTAATCCGCTATGGAGAAGTCATGTTTTACATGTTAGCTTATTGATTGAGCAGGTGGTAAATGGAAAGTATAAAAGTATGAATATTGACTCCACAGCTAACCCTACAGGTCATGGGGGACAATTGCAAGCAAAGAGTAGTTTTTTTCTGTTCAAGACATGAAGACTTTCTTTGATAGTGTTGAGAAGTCTGGCAGGAAAAATGGAACATATTTAACAATTTGGAAATATTGATTTCCTTTTGTAAACAATTGTTTTTCCAAAAATCCTCGAGAAAGAGAAAGGGGGAAGTGATAAATGCCTTCATGGTGTGGGGTGAGGGGCAAATCATCAGCTAATGGAGCCACCATCAAAAAGAAAAAAAGAATAATAATTGGTAGATTGTTGTGATTCCATTTTTTAATTTCATACATAAGTTACTGACAAAACTCTACTGAATAAAGCTTTTGTTTATCTACTCTACAACTACCCTTCAAATGGCTTCTGTTGCTCCTAGGGAAGTCGAGATTTGTGGAGAGGTATCCAAGAATTTTTTTGGAATGGACAGTGATGGAAACATCATACTGGATGTAAGTTGAAATTTCATGTAATTGTAATGATGAATTTGCAAAAGGGTATTTGCTCACTGTCTCACTTCCTCGCATCACATTTTGAAGCTGTAAGAAAGTAGTCAAGTTAGCTGAAAGGCTAAATTCTCCATTTGAACCATATTTTCAAAGGAATCATTCTCCAATTAAAAACTTCTAGACTCCATATATATAATCTCTTCAACAGAGTGTTATATGTACCTTGTCCACTGCTTCAATGTTTCATGGGAGAACAAATAAAAACCCATGGAATGTTCATCAGTGCAAATGAGGACTTTTTAGTTTTTATCCTTCTGGCATCCAGAATCATGTCTTGAATGATCCAAATGAAACTCACTTAACTGAAACCATGGTGAAAACAATAAATTGCCTTTGGGACTATGACTATGTTTCAGAATAGTAAGGGGCTATATGGAAATCTCTGTTTTCCTCTTTAAGGGAGAATGTTGTGATTTAATAAGAGGTTTTATTTTTCATTTGGCAAATGTACCATGTCATGCAATTCCACTGATAAATTTTAGATATTATCAGTTAAACCAGTTTTCAAATATCTCTTATGTTTAAGAATCTATAAATGAACATTTAACCATTTGTCCCACAATGTAAGAGTCAGGCTAATAATTGTGTCTTGATCGTGACATTTCAACTGTGTTACTGCTAGTGTTTGTCATGCAATCAGGTTGAAAGTTTAAGTTGCTTTTTATAGGACCTTGGTTTGTTGTTATTTATGTGTTTTGATGTGCTGTCATTGGTGCATTTCAATCCTTATTATTAGTCCGACTATTAGACATTGTTCCCTCATAAGTCCACTTTGTTGCTGATCGGCAATTATGCATTTTGATGGTAGACATCTTTTCTCACCTAATTACATGGTCCTGATCTCCATATGAGTCTGAGAACTGGTCAATTTAGAGACAGTTAGAATTTCATTCAAATAATTTGGCTAGAATGTTACTTGCATGGTTGGCAACTCAATCTTTAAAGGTACAAAACTCTAGAACAAAAATTTATCTTTCAAATCAGCATTCTTAATCCCCACGGTATCAACTGAAGTGCTTTTCATTCAACTAATTTATTCTTTTTTTTTCTTGTCACCATATTCCCAACAATAGTGTAGCTCCATTTTCTGCATAAAAACACACCCAACCCACAATTCCTACATTCACTCTGACAAAGGGCTAATGCTCAAAACATCAGCTTTGAAACTCTCCATGGTGGCCAATTTGTGTTATCAACTCAGTTGATAATATTAAATTACCCAGTTATACTCTCCTACTGATGCAGTGCCAAAGTTTCTTTAGAGACTTATATCCCTTAACCCAATCTTTAGATTGCATGGTTGGCAACTAGATTAAGTGGCATGGATTAGGAATGGCTTTTGATGTTATATTTTAGCTAAGGAGAGAATGGTAAGATTAGATCTCAGAAACTGAGCCAGCACAGTTGACTGGACTCATGTGAATGGCTCCATGGAGCTAGGGATTCTTCTCCATGCCACTTCCTAAGTAATTAGGGCTCAGGAAAGGTAGTGCATTGTGGTGTCACCAAGGGTTACTAAAGAACTTTTGGTGAATAGATGATTAATTTTTTTCGGAGCTACAAAAGCTCTTTTTTAGGCTTTACAAGTGATAAGTAAATGAAAGATACTAGGTAATGGAACTAAACAAATAGATGAAAAGACCCTTGATTAAATAATTGCAAATAAACAGAGCATAGTCACTTGAAAGCAACCAGCTGAGCAAACTGGCTGGCTGAACTAACTGCCTTCTGATTGATCATCATGCTTTGTTACTCATAACTGCCCACATAAATCTGACTGTTGGTTAATTGTCACTTTGGACATTACCACTAGTGACTGCATGGCTCAGAAATACCTTAAATAAACTGAATCCTCTGCAGGATACAATCCATTATCAGTCAAAGTTTTTACTTTAACTAGCGTGTAAAATTATGATAGCTTAACACAGAGAATTATCTTTACAGCCATTGAGAATGTTACTGGAGACTTAATTTTGCAAAAATTCATTTTAAAACTGGTTTTCTTTTTATTGACCCATTATGTGCCTGATGTGTTGATCATATAAATATGCTAAGTTTGGCTCTTGTAATTCTGCTTTCTTTGTTACTTTATGTTGAGAATTCTTATAAAAAGGCTTTTTCGGTGGAAATTATTTTCTCATTGGTGCAGAGGGAAGGATTAATTTCCCAGGAGGGTGAGACAACAGAACTTAATTCCTCCTGCAGTTACCTCTAGATCATAGAAAATAAACCATTTTACTTGCTGTCACCCAACATCCCCTTTGTACTGTTATCATGAAAAATAATGTACTCAATCAAGTAAAGGAAAAGAACTTTATTTGCTTGCTGGAAAATAATGTAGGGGAGGGGGGCACCAACTGAAACTTTCTTTGAGGGAGGCTATGGGTGAGGCTTTTCCTACAAGTAACTTTTTGTGGAACCTAGTTAATGGAATTTATTTAGTTAGTAGTTTGTAATTTCAAATTCCGGGTCAAGATGGTTTGGGACATATATTTGATTGTTATAGATCCATTTGTTCTGACTTATTTTCTATAATTCTTTTGTTAAAAAAGAATTTTGAGGAAAAAAACCCAAATTATTTAAACTATATAATTGCCACTGGAAGTAATGATTTTACTAACCTGTGTCTATTTAACTAAAGATGTATTTTTAAGTTAAAGTGGAGATCAACTCTTTCCTTTATATTGTTATTTTATGGCAAATGTTTTGATTGTTTTTTTGTTTTCATATGTTTATCATAATTAAAGCACCCTGCTTAAGCAACTTGATTAGTTAACTAGTAAATGTTTACTTGCCCAAGAAGAAGAAAGAGGGGGATTCCTTAAGTTTTCATGGAACAACGTTTAGAGTCACAAAGTCATTTGTTGTATTATGAAGGCTTTGTATCATTCTTGATGTTCACAGATGGAATCTAACATCATTGAAACAGAAAAACTGACATTTTATGTGAGAGTTGATGGTGAGTGCAAACAAAATTAATCTAATTACTGGTCAATTTATCAGTATAACTTAATTTTTTAAATTTTTTGTTTCCTATATACATGTAATATTTTGATTATTTTGATTGTTAAAGTTACAAGATACTTTCATAGTTGTGTCACAGAAAATAACTATTACAGGTGAATAATTGATTGATGTCTTCTTTCAAAAGTTGAGAACTTTTCAAGTTCAAGCATGTAATTTTTATTGCTGACCTTTACACTCTACATCATATTAAAAAAATATGTTGACAATACAGGAATCATTGTAATTTTTGTTCAAGTTCCATAAATTTTTGTTTTTGACCTCTGTTATAAAACAGGAGGCTACAATGTGGGCAAATTGCACTTGCTGAACAGATATGTTAATGAGAATGATGACTACTTTGAATCTCGGAGAGGTAAGAAAACGTTTAACAATGAGCATGGAAGCAAATCATATGAGTTTTTTGAAAGTTCTAAGTGATCTAAGATTTAGTCTATGTTCATTTGTTCTTTTTAGAGAGCTGGTATTGTAAAAGAATAAGTCTGGACCAAGACGTGATAGTGAACCTTAAAATAGAGTACCCTGCTGCTTTGAGACGGTATCGAGATATTGACCTACTACAACATATTGAAGAGGAGCCGGTTCTGAACGATTATCACCCAATACATGCTTTTATTGTTGTGTATGACATAACGCAGAGACATACATTTGCGGTAGCAAAGAGGTTGGTTGACGATTTCACTAAAGAGGCCAGGCCAGGTGCCTTTGTAGCTCTTGTGGGGAATAAAGCAGATCTTGAAAGTATAAGGAAGGTGTTCTTTGAGGTAAGTAATGTGGCCATGTTTATATAATGCTAGTGTGCTACATGTGGTAAACATGAAATCACGTAGGTCAAAAGGTTTTTTAATGGTTTTTGTAGAGAATGATGTAAATCATGTTTGAGAAAGGATAGTAAAATGAGGTGGTTTATGAAAGCTCTTTGGACCATTTTTGTATGATTTCTCATTGTGCCTTTGGTATAAAATCATTTTGTGATGCATTTCTAGTAAGTACTTATTTACAGTGCGACTCTACATGTATCTTGCTGTATTAACGTCAAAACATGGGAACTTCCTACGCGTCTTTTAAAATCTTATTTGTTACGAAACCTGAGAAGAGAAACTATATCAGGCATTTGACATCCAGCTTCCTAAAAGGCAGACTTCCCTGTTTCAACCAATGTCAACAACACCATGCTCACCAAGCATATGTCAACAACCTGACGTTGGCACCTCGCAAGTAACCTTTTTCACAACATTGAAGTAACAAACCGAACTATCAGAATGAACTATTCTTGTTTACTTCTTTTGTTTTTAAGACAGAAAACAATGAGTTAATTCACATACGGTTGAATGACTACTAATGACAACAGTGCTTCTCAAGACTTCTCTTACCAGGCTTTATTGTAAAAATTTAAATTAAAAAAAATTGATTAGACCCATTTTTTTGGTAATCAATGGTGTACTGTATTCCTTTTTCTTATATATCTTTCCTTATTTTCCTTCTTTCAGGAAGCTCAAAATTATGCAGATGAAAACAATATCGTTGAGATTTTTATGGAAGTGTCAGCACTAACAGGCGAAAATGTGGAAGACCTTTTCTCCGATGTTGGTGAGTAGAATTGACTATTCATTGATCTAAAGGGGGTAGGTTTCTAAAGAAACTGTGGCGCTATGTCATTGGTGGAATATAACAGAGTAATTTCTCAGTAGTATTATCAACTAAGTTGATAACGTAAATTGGCCATCAACGAGCGTTTTTATTCAACTGGCCGTAGGGATTAACACTGTCGATTTAAAAGATGTTTCACCAATGTATAGCTTTTTGCGAAAAGTTGTACATTGGTAAAACATTGGAAGACTAATAAGTGACCGATTCCGAGAACACCTTCGCGAAGTAGAAAGAAATAACAAAGACGCATCTTAACCAGTCGCTAGACACTTTAATCTCTCTAACCATTCTGAGCAGCATATGGCAGTTTGCGGCCCTTCCCTAAATCTAGACAGTTCGGAAAGCCTCAAAACTCTAAAACAATCTCCAGTCGTTCTGATGAAAGGCTACCGCTGGAAACGTCAGCTTTTAAACTCTTTACGGTGGCTAATTTACGCTATCAACTCAGTTGATAATACTAAATTACCCTATTCATAGATGTGTCTGACAAACTGACGGTAAAGTCTGCACTTGAGTCCATTGGTATATAAGGTGCCAGAGCTAATCATGATTATTTCAGCATGATGCAGCTTGGGGTTTTGAACCAAAACCTCTCTATCTGTGGTTTAGGGTTCTAACCATTTTACCGCCCCATCTCCCAACAACCTGCCTTATCAATTACACTGCTTTTTTAAGTAGATGTGTTTTCTCACAGGGTGTCTTTGTCAAATGATACGCTTTGCAGGCATTGCAATACTCTCCAACTGGTTTTGTTAAAAACCTGGGTTGAAAGGGGATTCCCTAATATGCGTCGGCTAAAGGCCGACACAGACGGAAGAAAATATGCAACCACTTATCATAATATAATCTAATAGAGAATGCTTTGTAAATTATCACATACTCCACTCTTGCATGAAGCCAGACTTGCTGATAGCTTGGAGGTTGCGCCATGACATTTAATGAAAAGCATTGCAGAAAGCTTCAGAAAGTCTAGTAACGCCATTCCTGCAGAGTGGCCATTGTGGAACACTTCTTTCCAATTAGCACTCGTTAATGGAAATGAGAAAAGTTCCAGTGGATAGGCCTTGACAGAAATCACATTATTTTTGCAGTCAAGTGTTCGTATTAAAAAAATAGTTGAGTATAGGTTTCTGACTAAAGTTGAATTGAAAGGGTAACTGTGAGAATATGTTTGTTACAATTGTATGTCTGTTGTAGCAGTGGCTGCTTCTATGAAACATGAGCTTGGATAACTAGCAGTAATTTCTCCCCGTGGAAAAACGACAAAAAATTATTAATAGCATAATTGTTTTTATGTTTGCTAGAAGAAAAATGGAGTGCGAGGTTTTGTTCCTAGTGTCAAAAGTAGGTTGCTCCTGTTACCTATACCAGTTATATCAATTTTTCTAAGCTGTGTTTAGTTCTCTTAATGTGAAACTCTTGCACTTCTTTCCTGTTAATTAAGGTTTACAGGGATGGTTCGTTAGGAAATACTTGTGTTATAGGTGTAGGCATTATTCAGGATGTGGAGGGGCAAAGCTGACAGCGAACTGTCATGTGGTACTTAGTTTTTTATAATTATTTTATTTTGTAGTGAAACGTCTAACTGAACCTGCATCCTTTATCAGCGAAACTTTGGCTCTCGAAGAGAAAACTTTGGATCTCGAAGAGAAAACTTTGGATCTCGAAGAGAAAACTTTAGATCTGAGTAGGAGAAATTTGGACAGTGGTCCGAGGATTTATCTCTTAGAGAAGTTTCTGCGTAGACGAGAGAACGTGAAAAAACTTGCAAATATCCTATCGCTGAATTTGAGCCACAACCGTCTTGAAAACCTACCTGTTATTTTTCTACAATTGATCAACCTGACGTGCTTAAATGTGAATAACAACAGACTGTCCTCTCTGCCTGAAAGTATTGGATGCTTTAAACGACTTCAAGAGCTGGACTTGAGAAATAACCAACTGAAGGTACTTGATGTGGTTAGAAAACTGCCTGACCTTAGAAAACTATTGGTTGAAGGAAATCCGCTCACACTAGAGGAGATCAGAAGTCTTATTAAGCATGTGGATACGATGACAAGATCGATCTCCGTAGACATTGCAGGTAGTGTTACATGAATATATAGCAATATATCTTTTGCACACTTGAGCACAATGTTATCTCGGAGTGTCTCTAGCGCTGTGGTGATTTTTATCTCAATTGAAAGTTTCTGAAGTAATTTCTTTGTAAAGATTAGAGCTTCAAGTAGGTGAATCCTGTCTTTCCATCTTCGCGTAGAGATCCAAATTGAAGTATACATATATAGTCGATTCCCGTTATTGCGGACACCCCCTGGGGGGGCAGATTTCGTGTCCGTAAGATCGAGAGTCCGTAATAGCGGGCTAGGAGAGAAAAAAATTGTTTTGTCTCCAAACATATGAGATGATATGTAACTACGCAAAAATAAAGTTTCTAACATTGCCTCGAACCGGAAAAAGATCTGGCCGCAATTAAGCAGGAAATTTTCATGTTAGCACCCAAATAAAGAATGGTTTCTTTATTTTCCTTATTATAATGTAGCTTTATAGTATGTGAGTCAGGGTTTTGGACGAAGTGTCCGCTATAGCAAGAGAAAAAGCAAGTGAAATGGCGTGCTAGGGGTTATGAAAGTGTCCGCATTTCCGTGATAGCGAGAGTCCGTAATAGCGGGAGTATATTTCAGTCATTTCTTTCTGCGTTTCTCCGGGGGATGCCTCTTGTCTGCAATGCTAGGGTGTCCGTAATAGCGAGGTGTTCGTAGGACGAGAGTCGATTGTACACTTAAAATGCAACCTTCACTTACTATTTTATTTATTTTGAGGATTGATGCTAGTATGAATCGTTGCAAGCTTCGTCTGATAATCCCTTTGTGGGAATGTTTAATTCAAATTTGCCGACCGATCGTTCTGGCTATAGAGTCTCGAGGTGTGCACTTGAAAAAAGCGTAACCGTCGGAAGCAGGCTGGTTTTGTTGTTGAGTGCAGTGTTCGTGTACTTTACAAACCTTTTTCCAAGCATTTAAAATTGAAAATGGTACAAAAGAACCCGGCTTGAAAGCTCACAGTGCAAGAAAGATGAAAAATCCCGTCACTATTTTACGACAAAAAAATTTTGAGGAAGTGTTATGTGACAGATTTACCTGAAATTTTGAAAAAGATTTTCTCTTCTACCGGAAACATTTAATCTTCTAGAAGTTGATATGACTTTCATGAAAGTTAATTTTAGTAATATGCTCCTTGTATTATATGTATCACCCTCCACAAGGTCGTGATGTATCGTGGAAATGTTCTTTGTTTCTCACTTTACTGTTCTACAATAGGCAATTACTGCAATATTAAATTTTCCTTTTCCCCCACTTGCAGCTGTAGCTCCTCCAGATATTTTGGCGCAAGGACATTCCGCAAGACTAGTTTATGAAGAGGCCCTTAGAGATGGATTTGTGAATGTTTATCGTGGTCGCATAATATTGGTTGGCCAAGATCGTGCCGGAAAAACAAGTTTAAAGAAGACTCTCTTAGGTTTGCCATTTGACTACCGGGAACAGAGCACGAACGGGATCGAAATAGAGCCATCAAAGTTCGAAATTGAAGTGGAGCAAATTAAGAACTGGACTCCAAGTTGTGCGAACAAGTCAAGTTTGTCTGAATGTTTGGAATATACAACGGGTATAGCGGAATTGTTATCGAGAAAAAGGTATCACATGATTGTTCGTGATGAGAAGGAAGACTCGGAAATGAAATCAGTAGGGGAACAGCCTAAGGAAGAACGCAGAGTGGAGTCAGGAGAGGAATTGCACACAAAACATGTTGTCGCCGATGAGGTCCGTTTACTATGTTTTTACACTGAAACCTGAATTTTTTTGAATGATCTCAAACGAATTCACACATTTAATGCTCATTTCATTGTTTTGACATAACGAGATAGATCGATATCCACTGTGTAAATAAAGATACATCAGCCATCAATTTCTAACGCGGTTTGGTATCCACAGTATTGATATTTCATCTTATTTTAAAATGTTAGGTTTCCGTGTACGAGGATTCGGCCACTAAGTTTCCAGATAGATCCAAGCCATCAAGCGAAGTTCATGAAGGAGAGAATCTAAGCACAAAGTCCAAAATAGCTATCAACGCCACCGTACTTTCTAATACCGTTGAAAAACAGGCTGATGAACTCCTAAAGAACATGATCGTTGAAGGTGTGGATGCTGATAGTACATACATCGAGAAAGGATCCTCGATAACCGCAGATGTGTGGGATTTTGCGGGTCAACATTTGTACTATGCTGCTCACCCAGTATTTCTTTCGTCAAGAGCTGTGTACATCGTAGTTCACAACCTTAGCAAGCCACTGAATGCCCGAGCTCAGCCATGTTTCAGACAGGGAACTCATGAAGTACCTTTGGAGAACCCGAACAATGAGACTAACCTGGAGAATTTGCTGTCGTGGCTCGTGACAGTTCATAATATGAGATCAACTGGAGAAGAAATGGTTGAAACGCCTAACGTGCTCCCCTATCTCCGACCTCCAGTGTTCATCGTCGGCACCCATGCTGACAAGCCATATGAAGATAGGAAGGATGTTTCATCCAAGATACTTCGTGAGATTTCCAGTAAGGAATATGGAAAACATGTGATCCGACCATTCTTCTACATTGATAACACTCAAGGACACAAATCATTCGCATGGAAATTCCGGAATTTTTTCCGTCAAGCAGGTAAATCATGTGTTTGGGTTCAACATGATGATTAATGACGTGTTTATCGGTTAATGAGGTTGGGTATAATTTTATTTCTATCGAGGACAGACAAAATCATCGTTAGATAAAGTTGATTGGATTCACTGAATATTTTACCGGTTGCTTTTCCGCATCTAATTCCTAGCATCCTTTTGTCCCAGTCTAGGTACTTATCTACTTTTGATGTTGGCAACTTGTTAGTGTTCCCGTTATTCCTGGATTTTTTTTGTTTGTGTTTTCTCTTTTTTTCCCTTTTTTCTTGTGTTAACCTGGATTGTATATGTAAATACCATAACGAATGTTTTTGCAGACCAAATTAGTGTGAAATTTATAATACATTGCGAAGAAGTGACTTATATTGCTGCAGCAGAAATAGACCTTTCCGAATACGAAATAGGGGATCATGGTCCTAGTTGCCATCAAACACGTATCGAAAGTCCGAGGAGAAATCTCTGTTCCTCCCTGGCTTCTCTCAACAGCACTAATTGTTTTACATAATTTATAATTGAAAGGTCAAGAAGGAGACAGTGATGGCACTAATGCCGATGGAATTCATGCTCTTCGAGCGAGAATCCTGGAAGTACTTCGACAGGAACCTTATATGGGAGAGAAGATACCAGTGAGGTAAAGTATGATGTATAATGATATAAGCACAAAGAGATGTTCAGCACATTTTTTTCTAACAACAGCTGTACTGAAACGTACGAGTGGTTTCGCTACTTGTCGAGTTCGCTACGTTCAAGTTCGCTACATGTTCGTTACTTACATGCCGAATTCGCTACTTACTTCATTCAACCACAGTAAATTATGCTCGCATTATGAGCATAATTTACCAATTCCCACAGATGATTTACGGGAACTTTTGCGGCTCATACTTGAAGAAAATTCTTTCAAGTTCAACGAAAGATTCTTCATACAAACACATGGCATCGCCATGGGAACTAAGACACCAGTTGCTTTCTCTGCCATTTTATGGCAAACCTAGAAAAGCGACTGTTAATGTTGATAGTCCCTCTAACCTTTGGTCTGGAAGAGATTTACTGATGACATATTTTCACTGTGGAACATTTAAAAAAAAAAACGCTTACAATTCTGTTGCCTTTGCCAATTCGTTCCACCCTATAATCAGGTTTACTTGTGAAACGTAACCTCGCAACAATCCAAAAAATCAAAGTAGCGGTTTAAAGCACACAAGAAGGAAATTTGCATATGATCAGTTTAACTGACTCCTAAAAACGGCAATCACGCACTTGGGAGTATAAATTACAGATATTGCTTGTGTTTTATGGTTAAAAGAGAAATTAAAACTGTGAATTAACAGAGGCAGCGAATTGGGCATGTTAGAAGCGAACATGTAGCAAACTCAACGAGTAGGGAAACAGGCGTAAAGTGCTTTCAAGACGACGAATTTTTCAATGCTTAACAACATGCTACCATTACTTGTGGATGTAATATATCCTCAAAAGATGCTCAACCCGCTATTAAGCCATATTCTAAAGTTACATTTAGAAATTTCCAAACTTTGCTACATGCAATTTGCTATGATGTATACCTTTCTGTAATTTAGACTAATTATAAATTTTTTATATTTCTAGATGGTTTAACTTCGAAAAGGTCATTGAAGCTTTGGTAGCTGAGAATGTATACCACTCAAATACTGTTCATCTTCAAACCTATGCCAAGGATGTATGTTTTATAGAAGACGATGAACAGTTTCACACCATGTTGAATTTCTATCACGACTTAGGATTGATTGTGAAACACCGCAGTACAGTCATTCTGAAGGCACAGTGGTTAATCAGTCTATTCAAGAAGCTTATAACCATCCCAGCATTCAAAAAAACGGTAGGAAAAGATAATCTTCTATGCATCGAGATGATTCCAGATCGCAGGCAGGATTTGTCACCTTCCCCCAACTTGCTCTTGAGGAAAAAATGTTAATTTAATTGACTGTTTGTTCGTTTGTTTTTTCACGTTGTTTACACCCCTTACAACATTTTGAGTTTTCTCCATAACTTTTATGTGTCTCCCACTCTCCCTCATTTTAATATTGCCTTATATTGACAAAATGGTCACTAATTTATTACGACATTGTTTGAGGGTGGGGAGGTAAGGGGGAAATTCAATAAACTAATTAGAGATGAATAACAAGATTTTTCTTATTATGGTGACTCATTTCGGGAGGCTTGCGAACTACATTTTACCACTCATTGTACCCTTAGTAATGAGGAAAGGAGAGATGTTTTTGGTCCGCTGCAAATTAAATGGGTCATTTTTAAAGAAAATTTGGTAGATTGAACTTATTTCAAATCGGGAATTTGTGGTTTCAGGATCCTGTGCATTCCAAGTACTGGCTGCAACTCGAGACAAGTGGTGTCCTTAAGATGGAGCTTGTTGATCACGTTTTTTCCCCTCTTATTCAGCAAGGCGTTATCAAGGAAGACATCTTGGACATGATGGAGCAGTTTTGTTTGATTGCCAAATACTCACCATCCCCGGCTGACGTTTATTACTTTGTGCCATGTCAACTGAGATCCTCACCTGAAGAGCTTTGTAAAATGGAGCCATCATCTACGGATCCTTGTCCTTTGTATCTTCATTTCCAAGAAGGCTTTGTTCCGCATGGTTTTTTTACTCGCCTTGTTTCAAAATCGGTTGCTTGGTGTGGTGCAAATGGATCGTTACAGCCTCCAAAACTCTACCAGAATGGTGCATGGTTCATTCTTGAAGAACGCGTCATACATGACATGATTATGATTTGCAAAAAGAAGTTCATAAAAATCCTCTTGAGACAAAGAATTAAGAAGAACGTAGTTGCAGTTTCTAATTCAACTTTGGTAGAAGTTGCTAGAAGTGTGCGATTGTTTATGGAGAGCACTTTAGAAAAGATGTCGCAGGAGTTCCCATACCTGAGCAGGATGCAGCATGAATTTTGTGTAGAATGCCCCTACTGTCAGCAAAGCAGTCGCAAGTGCGTAAACCACAACCAAGTGTCCTGTGGAGAAGAAGACTGCTTACACCTGCTTGAATTAAGGCAAGGACAGGATTTTATCTGTATGGAAAGCATGTCTAATGAAGTACTTACAGTTCCTGGACAAGAGAAATGGTTGTTGAACCAGGTATAAAGCATTCTTTGTATGTCTTCGTTCGTTCGTAGGTAGTAACGGAAACCAATTAAGAAGAGCTTATGATAGCTGCAATGATATCACATTGTGCGATGGCAGTCGTATGAATCGGAATACCCAATTTAGAAAACCTTGGAACAGATTGAAATCTAATAGTGTCATGGAAGGATCTTGCTTCATCAAGCTCCTAAAGCAATACAGCAATGGAGATACTGTATGAGATTGTATGTTTTGCAATTGCGTAATTACCTTTTTGGTTGATTCAAGACATGTATGAACGCGTTCAACCAGTTCGTTTCCTTCCGTCTGGTTTATAATTTCTTGATGGGAAAAAAGAATATTTTTCTCTAACTGAAGTAAGTTTTTTTGTGAAAACTGTTTTATATACCTTACTTGGAAAATGATATGCTTTTCCTTTATAATAATGTTTTTATGTCATTATCCAAAAGGGCTTGGCTCCGTCAGAAATAAGAACCTCACAAGTTGCATCAGTGCGTGGTCACCCAGCAAAGTGCCACAAAACTTTGAAAGTTACTCTACTGGCCAATGAGTGGAATTCGTCAAGGGGGGGTTTGTCCACCATCAACAGACACCTTGCCATCCTTATGGCCAAACTTAGTGAGGTAGAAGTCACTCTCTTAGTCCCACAATTTGCTTGTTCTGAAGAAGAGAAGAGAGATGCAGAAAGTCACAAGATTGTCATCAAAGAAGCAGAGAGACGTCCAGGCTACGACCCTCTTGACTGGTTGAGCTTCCCTCCGAAAAACCTGATAACTGACGTGGTCCTGGGTCATGGAGCCAAGTTAGGTAAGCAAGCCCAAATCATTAGGGAGTACCATAATTGCCAGTGGGTACAAGTAGTGCATACTGCGCCTGAAGAGCTCGGAATGTTCAAAAACTATCCGAGAGCCATTGCCAAAGGAGAAGAGAAGACTACAGCCGAAGTAGATTTGTGTAAATTGGCAAATCTAGTCGTACCAGTAGGACCCAAGTTGACTGAGGCTTACTCTGCCTATCTTCAATCGTGTGAGAAGCAGCAAGATATCATGTCGTTCACTCCTGGCACATTTAAGGAATTTTCAACTCTAAATCATGCCTCAGTTGACTCTGAAAAGTTTAGGGTGTTGACCTTTGGTCGTGGTGACCCTGAGGACTTCGGTCTGAAAGGGTATGATATCGCTGCTAAAGCAGTAGCTGAACTGAAAGACAACTCCTACCATCTGATCTTTGTGGGTGCACCTGATGGAAAACAGGAGGCAGTTACGGAAACTTTGCTGCAGAATGGTATTTCCAAACGTCAGCTGACAGTGAGAACGTTTTTGCAAAGTAAGCAGAAATTGAAGGATTGTTTTTGTGAAGTTAATCTCTGTATCATGCCATCCCGGACGGAGGGGTTCGGCTTAACTGCGTTGGAAGCCTTGTCAGCTGGTCTTCCCATTCTTGTTAGTGGAAACTCGGGTTTCGGAGACGCACTACGCACTGTGCCACCCGGCAAATCATTTGTAGTCGATTCTGAGGACCCCAAGGTGTGGGCTGAGGCAATTGCTGTTGTCCGTAAGAAGGAGAGATCACAGCGTCTTAAAGAGATTGAACGACTGAGGACATCATATGAAGGGCAGTTCAGCTGGGAGAAACAGTGTGACCTTCTTGTTGATAAGATGTGGGTCAAAGTTCATGGCGCAGGTATGTTGATGATTTTTATGTTTCTTTCCTTAGACTTGTCTTTTCTTGTGGTATCCCAAATTTATTCTGTCCTTGATGTGAATAAATTTTGTACCTCGAAAAGAGGTTTCTGAAACATAGTATGAAAGACAATTTTATAAGTTTGTGTATATCACCAATGTTCGCCAAAAAGGAAACGATCTGTACGTGCTGATGAGAGAGAGATAGGAAAAAGAAAAAGAAATGTCCAAAACCACTTTTATTCATCCTAAGTTTAATTATCGTTCTTGATACGAGTGTATTCCAAAATGTTAATGTTTTAGCGGGGCATATGTCATATTGTGCAAAAATCTCAGGTTAAAAGTCATCTGCTCCGGTTATTCACAAGCAATTATTGCTTTCGTTGCAACATAATTATTTTTTTATGAAAAAAGAAAAAAAAGTAGCTATGTAGAACGTTAACTGGCAAGTCTAGGATATTAACCGCGACTTTTTATTCCAATACTGTTTCTCGTTCTCGAATCTCGAAGAAAGTGGTAGTTTAACCTGAAAGAAGAGCCTGTTCCTATCAGTGAAGATTTTAGATCAATTTAAGTCCTCATGAAATATTTTCCCATACATGATCCTCCTAATAAGGAAATATCTCGTTCATTTGAGGGTAGCGCCCTCTATAAAAATTAAATCAGAGTACTCAATTTAATAAGTGTCCCTCTCAGCCCTGACTTGGGCACATATTACTTTACCAGCAGTGAGATCGGGGCCGAGTGGATCACATACAAATTTCAAGCAGCTTGCAATGGCGATACAGGATGAGTTCCCAGCAAGTTTAAAAATAATCACGGTAGACTGAAACTTCGGTCTTAAATGTGATGGATTTTTTTCTATCCGATAGTTGAGATCTTCGCTTCCATCTAAATTGTATGATTCAAGGAATTACACCTAAAATTATTTTGCTTCTAGGGCTGCTTGAGCGAACCATTCAGAATCTTCAGCGAATGCAGCTCTGCGCAAGCTCGGTCAACAACCACACTACCTTGACAGAGGAGTTAGCCACGATTGTATCAGATAAGGGCTTTAGAATTTCTGGCAATCAAGGGTCAGGAAACTGCATGTTCTATGCCTTGTCAGAACAACTTGAAACCGTCAAAGGAATCAAAATCCAACATGGCCAGTTGAGACAATCTTTAATTCAATACCTCAGGGAAAATCCAAAACTGGTGAGATGCAGTAATTCTCATTAATAGATTGAACTAACGGTTGATCAGTAGTTTTGGCCACTGTGCTTATTTCTCTCTCCGTTACATGAAGTATTACTCGTCCTTACTGGGACACTGGTCCCTTTCACAACACAGAGAAGCGCTTTTTCAGTGCAGTGTGTTCTCCTAGAGCTCGATAATACAGTCACCCAAGGTAGGATTGTGTCGAAAGCTCTTATCGTGGATTTCAGTGCCTTAAGCGGTAGGCAGCGTAGTCTCTGCCCACATTCTTATCTAGTTCAAATGGAGTCTCTAGTGGAGTGTTGTGCTTAGTTATGTAAGTCACACGCTTAGAAAAATATTCCTTTCAGAATCAATTCAGAATCAATGAACACCGTCTGTTTAGCTCGGCTCTGAATAGGGAGATCGTGTGTTTTGGAGACCTTATCGTTCTAAACTATATTTTTCTTACTCTGAATGTTTTGGTTTTCTCCATTTAAGGACTTACCGGTAGTTTACATTTTACTCGCATAGTGGCGTTTGGGTAAATTCTCGTTCCTCAGAAGTGTGATGGTACCTATGAACGGCTTAATGTTTAATTGCAACAGGTTCATGGCGAGTCTGTATGTAACCGAATGGGTCAGCGATCATATTGAGACGCAACAGCTGCTTTCCATTTAGACTCTTGTGGTGGGACACTCACATGATGTTTGTTTTAGCTTTTGCTGTTTGCCCACCGCGTTTTAATGTTTTCACTAACCTTCCCACTGTAAAGAAGTTTATTTTTTTTGTGGATTTTTCTTTGAATTGTGCTCGGCCCTGTTCAAAAGGTATTTGGAATTCAAGTTTTAATTGCTGTCTCTTCTTACAGCCGGATGGAACAGATCTGATTCACTTTGTCCATGGCCATGAAACATGGGCTGATTACCTGACATATATGAAACAAGATGGCGCTTGGGGTGATCACCTCATTCTCTGTGCCGCTGCGAATTGCTTTAAAACGTGCATTCATGTCTTCAGCAGTCTACATAATGATGTAGTCATCAGGCCACATCATCCTGTTGAAGAAAGCAAGCCACTAGTACTGGGACATATTCATGAGGTACACTATGTCAGTCTTCAACCCATACAAGGTAAGAAGGGGAAAGCACACTTCACGCGCTTTTCAATTTGAAAATGATGAAGATCACTTAACATCCGTGATGAAATTTGAAAACCTTATGTTTCCTATGTAAAGCACTAACTGGGTCGAAGGTTTATCCTCGAACTGTTTACTCTTCTCGATTCACTACGATGGTTTGTTACTTGATCTTTCTCAGAGATAACTCTGAGAATGAACTAAGCTTTCCACTTCCCTGCTGGAAAAACACACCAGTGTCTTTAGTGACTTGAAATGTACCATTGCTATCGTTTCATAAGTTACAAGCTATACCTTTATATTTTGTTTTCTTCTTTTATATTCTGCGATGGGTTTTACAAATTATATCAGTTTTAAATGGAGTGATCTTTTACAGTTTTTTTGGAAAGATGGTAACTGAAGAAAATGTCTGTAAAGCGAGTTATGTATACATTTATCTGGTTGTTAAGTTATATTAAGATATGCTATTTGTATTTGAACAAAAGTCGCTTGTTAAGAGAACGTTGTAAAGCATACAAGTTTAAGTCAGTGGTATTACAGCTGCTCAATTTACCCGAGGACCAGGGATGGTACTGTTGTGAGAACACTTGCTTCCCACTATTTTGGCCGGGTTATATCCAGGACCTTGCTTTTCATGTCGGCTGAGTTTGTTTTTGATCCGCGCCCGAATTCCAATCACTTTACGGAGAACCATACTCTGGGAAATGTGAACTTTTTTTTCACTAATTTTGGTTTGTTTTCTTGTTGCATTTACAGGCTAAAAAAAAGTGTTTCGGCAGCTTTGGCTACAAACCAGGAAGACCTCAACGAAGAAACAGAACGCAACCAGAAAAAACTGCGAAATTTTAGAACTTCTTTCACCAAACCTTATTTTTAGCTGAAAAGAAAGGTTTAGATAAAACATAGCAGTTTAGAGGTCGCATGTTTTTTGGTTTGGATGAGCTTAAGTCACTGAATTGCTATCGAGTTTTCGTGGTTTGATTGAAATTTTGATATAGAGCAATTCTTAACTGAGTGTAAAAAGTAATCCCCTACTGCTTTGGTTTTCTTTATTTCGGTCTGTGATTGGTCTAGAAACTCGCTCAATGTACGAAACAAATCAGATGGCAAACGAGAAAGAATCGTGACTGGTCGTTTGCCCCCAATTTTTGTAGTTTGCTTGTATTTCCTTTGAAACCTCATTGGCTAATAACGATGCAAAACTTCGTTACTATTGGCTGTTGTAATAACTTTGGTTTATGGTTTACGCCGGCCAATTGAAAAATTACTCCAAAAACCATGGATTGCGTATTTCTGTTCTGCAATTATGGAACATCTCTCATCCAGGATATTCTTGTCTTGTCGGTGCCATTGTACGTTGGTGCCGCCGTTGTGTCTTGAATTTTACAAGCTTTAATTGACAGTTTGCTCTACATTGTAGTGCTTGGAGTGATTCACGGAATTTATTAATATTTTTTCTTAAAATTTGCCTTTATTACATATTAAAAGGGGAACAAAGCTAATTTGCATAGATAATACATGGGAAATATAAAATAGGAAAAGGAAAAAAGCGAGGAAGTCTCAAGAAGCCATGAAGGCTTATAGGCTCCCTTTTTTAATTAGAGTTTAAGTTAAACTAGAATGTAGAACTTAATTTAACAAGTGTAGAGTACGAATAACGGAAGTCGTGGAACGCAGTACCATGGTGGTTGTCGATCACTTTTGCTATCAGCATTGGAAAATAACCCCAGCGCCATGGGGAAGCTTTCGAACTCCTCACCTTGAAAGAATTATGGTAGACAATGCGATTATGAGTATGATGTTTAAGTCTACTGCCATAATACAATGTTAACGGCTTGTTATTATTTACTAAATCTGTTTTCTTGCATAGCGATTCCTTTTCAAATTTGCTAATGTAGTTTGCCATTTAGACCTCAGTTCCACTGGTGATTGAGTGGTTTTTTCTCTTGCGATTGAAACACGTTATCGGAACATACCAATTATGGCTGTTTGGCGAAGGAGGAGAAGAGACATGTACTGGATTTTTGAACATCTCTTCGTCTTATCTAAGAAATGGACTTACCGACTTTTTGTAAGGTTTTCACGCTGTAAGATTGTCATAAGCTTATTTACAGTAACAAACTTTCAAACATGGCTGACACTCCTGCAATGCAGTTTTCGTCTCTGTCAAAAACTTATATAAATCATGATGTCAGAGCGATTGCGATCATGATGTGTTCTCACGTGTTCCAAGTTCCATCGCGACATACATATGGTGGCAATCTTCGGCCACCACTGTGAAACAAACCTCAGAAATTAAAATGACGCATGTTACATAGGTTAATGTAACAAAATTCGCCGTCTTAGACAAGGCAACTGGGGCATTGCAGTTTTCTTGAACTTGCTATAGGTTATGGCGGCATATCGCTCTTTCTGGAGTTCACTAACAACTTCTAATAACATTTCAAATAAGAAAGATGATAAATTTTGAGCAAGGCAAAATGATTTAAAAATGTTTTTCCGTCTCGTCTCATTCTTATTGTCATATGAAGCTTTCGACATTGTTTATCTTTGCTTTATGCTAGACGCGTGTCAACCAAGGTCCTTATAATGGCGTAACTCAGCGTGGGGTCTCTGTGGCCCAGTGGTAAGGCATCGGAGCGCGAAATCAAAAGGTTTCACATTCGATTCCTTCTGGGGACTGTTAACTTTTTACTTTTGTCCAACGCTCGAGACAAGACGAATGAACATCTTCTACACAACCGTTCAAATGTAGCTTACCTACTTTTTGTTTTACTTTTTTTCAGTTGTACGTCTTAGGACAACTGCGGCTCGACGCACGGTGTGGCTGGTCACTCAGTCAATAACAAGTAACTCAGCGTGCACGTAGTTTTCATCTTGCTTTTAACCCATTTTGCATACCTTCAATCATAGTTTTCCCTCATTAATTTTTCCTTCGTCAGTGAGTTACATTCCTTTATTACCTTTGCGTTCTTTTTGTCACGCTCTCTTCCTAAGAGAATAACAAACAATTATTCATTTGTTTATACTTGTTTATTTATTACGGAGATCTTCTGCGTTTGATGATACCAGTGTTTCAAATGAGCTATTTTAGAGTTTCAAATTAATTTCCTTGTCAGATAGTACTTCCTAAAATTTGGAAAGACAGGACGATGGTCAAAATATTGCCAACAGTGATAAGGTATTTTGACACGGACATAAAAAAGTAGCATTTAAGGTGACTTGCATTAAATCACTCATAATTTTCTTAATTAGATGGTGACCAAAGAGAAAAGAGATCGTAGAGAAACTGGTGTGATTTCATCAGCAGGTTTCTTTATTTTTCAACTTTGGTTAGTTTTCGGCGTTGACGAGATTTACAAACTTCAATGAGTTCATCTGTTACAAAACTAGAAAACCAACCTTATCGCATATTCTTTGTTCTTCCCTCTCTTGCATTCCTTGATTTTCATCCTATGCTTGACACTGCGAGAGGGAAAAAGGGAAATACAACAAGAACCATGAATAGCTACTTCAAGTGTGCCTTACATTAGCAGAAATCAACGCATGTAGAGAGAGAGATGGAGAGAGAGAGAGAGGAAGAAAGAGGGAGAATTTTAACGTTGAATGGAAATAAAAAGACAGCTCTCAAAAAAACAAATTCGTCGTAAAGCCTACCAGTGTAATGCAGTGCCCGCTTTACATTCAACATGGCAAGGGTAGAAGCAAAAGATTCTAAATTAAAGCCTGTCTCTTCATCCAGGATTTTCTTGACAGCTGCTAGAGTTAAGTCTGGTTTCTGTTGTTTAAATTAAGTTAGAAGGAGTATAGCAACTCTTTTCGGCACATAGCAGGTGACTAATAAGCATGTTGCTAGGTTTCTTTACAACATAAATAAAAGCAAGTACTGCCTTCCGATCCAATCCTCTGGTAACCAGAAACCAGAGTCTACGATATAACGTTTCCACGATTACCTTCACCTTCTCTGACGAGCTAGAGGGTAAAGGAAAGAAAGAGTGTGCTTAAAACACACTTTTGGTGAACACTCTTTATTTATGAAAGCTAATGAAGGAGTTGACCGGGCAAACATTTCAAGTTGCAAGAATGTTATTTCCTAATGATTTAGAGCTAATCTTGTGACATTTCGAGACCAATAACCCTTGCGTAAGGAGAGAAGTTTATCGGTATATTTTATAATATATTTCGTGGTTATTCCAACAAAAACTTATACTCCCTTCTTATCAAAATTATCTTGACCCACTTCTGATAAAACAGCGACGAAAAGCGTCCTCTCTCTCTCTAATGTAAGATCATTTTTTCGGACCTCGAAACAAACTTTCGCTATATATCTAATTCTAGCACCTTGCCATGCTTGCGCAGTGGTGATCCCTGACAACTCATTCATTGAAAAAATATGTACAGGAATGAAAAGAGATATAAGCAAATAAGTGATGACTACACCTACAATAAAGTACAAATTTCTCGCATTTCCATTAAGGTCACGCTGAAGAAGAACTGTCGTGGCGGCTGCCACTGAGGGTTTGCACTGCACTGTGCTATGTGCATAACGCTCTTCCTTTATACATTTGACCCTGTAAATTAACTTTACAAGGACCACAGCGAGAAAGATGCACACTTCATTTCTGTCCAAATGTAACTTTCTCTAGATTACAAACCTGAATAAATGTCTTGACAAAATGAAGATCACAAATCAACGGCATGTTATCTGAATCACTTGATCCAGCATAAGACACACTTGCCGATCTGGACAGAACAGATAATATCCTAGGTAATGGAGATGAAATGACGTGTTTCTTGATTCCATTGAAGCTAAAGAAGACGCTAAAGATTTCTTGTGGTTCGAATGCTCTTTCCACGTGCAAGACTAAGCGCAAATATGAATTTTAAATTTGAAAATATTTGTAATTTAAATGAGTTTTCCGACTTCAAAAGGCAGGTTAAAAGTAATCGACACCGTGTTGCTCGGTCTGATCCGTTTAATTATAAAACGAAGTAATACGCTACCCTTAGGACAGATTTTCAGCTCAAAGTTCAGT